TCTCTCTCTCTCTCTCTCTCCCGCCCTCTCTCTCCTACACACAAGTCATCACACACACACACATGCCAACGGCATAACTGCGAAAAGAATACGCCAGCGCCCCCCCCCCCTCTCCCTGCCTTGTCCTCTGTCAGAGTGGCTCCTTAGCAGGCGGTAGTATTTTTCACGGCGTCCGGCACGGAAGCTGTTGTTGTCCAGTAAAAGTAAAGGAATAATTCAGATGTCGGGTGCTGCGTCGGTGAGGCCGCGCCGGGGAGTAAAAAGTGGGGAAGAAGAAAGAGTTTGGGGGGGGGGGGGGAGGCTCAGCGGGTCAGGGCCTGAGCCGGGCAGTATCGCTAACCACCCCACCTGCCTCGCCCCCACCTCACAAGGCCAAGGCGGCACGAGGTCTATAGGGTGCCGCCGCCGCCGCCACCAAAGGGAAAGACTTTGCCGGACAATTTAATTAAAATTTAATTTAAATAACGGGAACATATTTCCAGTGCGGTGTGCGGCGGGCTATGCAAGGCTCAGCGGGGCGGGGCCCGTGTGCTCCGGCCGGAGGGGGCGAGGGAACCGGAGGGGACCGCTCAACGACCCACACCCCCACGACTAACTGCTCTGTGGACTTTTCACGCTGCTGGTGCAAAGTGAAACAACGAAACTGGCCAAAGGCACCGTGGTAAAACAGCCTTCATCTTCCGCCAGACAAGAACTTTTTTTTTTGAGGGGAGGAAAGGAAAAAGGGGAGGAGGGGCGTTCCCGGATACCTGCTTTTCCCCACACGCTTACAAACTTATAACTGCGCTTAAACGGGGCAGCTTTCGTCATTCCTTTTTAGTTGAAAGTTTTCTAAAAATCTTCGAAAAAATACTGTTTATCAAAATACAATAAATGAAAAGATGCCAATTTAAAAAGAAAGGGGAGTGGAGAGTTCTAGCGTATCGGTCACCTTACAGATAAGGTTAGGAAATTAACTATCATACAGTGATCGGAACCATATTCTTGTCCTCACGACTAATATAATGTAGTCTCAACCAATCACTTTATGGCTGTCCCACGATTATTGCTTTAGCCTTCTATTTTTTGGGGTGACGCGTTGGTGGACGCGTCCCAACGGAAATAAGCGTTGTTGCCTCAGTGGTCGTGTGACACGACTCTGCACGCAAAAGATTTAATTTAGATTACAGTGATCTAGATTACCTATCTATCAGATGACAGACGGACGGGATAACGTACAATTAACGCTTCTTTTTACTCACGTATC